CCCCCCCAACCTTCCCCCCCCCCGACCTCCCAGAACCAATACAAGGAATAAATCTTAAACAAAAACAGTTTAAAATATGCTTAAAGAGAAAGTAGAAAATTAATAACGTCTTTAAATTGAGCTTAGCTCTTCCTTGTTAGGCTAACTATAAACAATTTGTATCATTCCTGATCTTAATCATAAGCTATCTGAAATTTCCTATAGACTGGCCCAGGTCTCTACTTCTCTTTTAGGGGAAATATTCTGCCTTTTTAATATACCCTAAAATATTTCATTTTTTCTAGGAGAGGGGTGGGTTTTAACTTCCAACAATATAAACTGGATTATATAAATTTTATAAGGGACACGGTGGCTCAGTGGCTAAAGACGCTGAGCTTGTCGATCAGAAAGGTCGGCAGTTGGGCGGTTCGAATCCCTAGCGCCGCTTAACGGAGTGAGCTCCCCGTTACTCATCCCAGCTTCTGCCAACCTAGCAGTTCGAAAGCACGTAAAAAATGCAAGTAGAAAAATAGGAACCATCTTTGGTGGGAAGGGAACGGCGTTCCGTGCGCCTTCGGGAGTTGAGTCATGCCGGCCACATGACCACGGAGATGTCTTCGGACAGCGCTGGCTCTTCGGCTTTGAAAGGGAGATGAGCACCGCCCCCTAGAGTCGGGAACGACTAGCACAGATGTGTGAGGGGGATATTTATCTTTAAAAACTTTACTACAATCTAGCACTCAGATTTTATTAAGAGCGTTTGTGCTTTTCTACAGGCTCAGAAACCATGCCGAGAGCGACATTTTGATGAAAACGTCGCTCAAGTGAACCACAGGAAAAGGAAGAACTTTTAATTTTCCGGATTTTTAGCAGAAACTGTTGGACGAGCAGTTTTCCCCCCTGCCGGTTCGCCCGAGGTTTGTGGACTCGAAAAGGACAAAAGCGTAAATGCAACCCAAGCTGAAAATGTTTGGGCTCCAAAAAAAAACATTGGCACCCATTTTTCTGACCGCTGCAACAGGGTTTTCCCTCTTCTGTGTGAAAAAGCTCTTAAAAAGAGCAAGAAATACAATTTTTAAGCATGACATTCCACCCCCAAATCTCCTCCCAGCGTGCATTTTTCCATTTGGGCTG